ACTACCTTGTGGCTAGAACCAGTGGCACAACAGTAATATTTAGATTGCTTACTTTTTCAAACCTGCTGCCTTCCAGGTGCTTCTGACTTCAACTCCCACTAGACCCAGCCTACAAGGCCAATGGGCCAGAATCTGACCAGTCAAATTTGCAGTTGCCCAAAGTATCTGGAGTTTTGCAGAATGCTTGCTTAGCACCTTATCTCAGTGTATAACAGCTCTAAGGGGGAAGGTTTCAGACAGTGCCTCCACAAGTTCAAGTAGCACCTGAAACATGGAGCCTTGTGGAATAGAGCTCTAGTCCTGATTCAGTATTGATTAGAAGGATGCTGATATATTTAGAACACAGCTTCTTCCTACAGAAGCCAAGCACTCAGACAGCAATATGGGAAATCCGCAGGACCGGTTACAGAAGGGGACAGAGCTAGGCTGCACTACTTTTCCCGTATGTTGTTGAATGTATGGTGATCCTTTGAGCCCTCCCCCTTATGTTATTAATGAAAGATGAACCACCAAATTTAGTTTCTATATTGTCCGTGCAAGCCCTCCCATTAGCTATAGCATGGCAACTGACCCAGGCAGCAAATGCCTGCGGGCAGAGGAGGCAGCCATTCCTTCTGAGTCCCTGTGACATTCCCCTTTCTTGGAATATAGTGTTGTACCACCCAGTCTGCCTTGCATCCTCTAAGCTAGTCTGCACCCCTCTGTTGTGGTTGAGGTCATTGATTCTGTTGCCAGTTCAATCTACATCTGTATGTGGAATGGTGGTGAGTGCCATCTTGTCTTTTGTCTCAGGCTGCAAAACGTCTTAGGCCAGCCCTGCTTACTGGAGCTCAGACTCTGGTTGTGCAGTTAAGTCTGTGCCCTGAGGAAAATAAGTAAATCATCACTAGACATTCAATAAGCAAACATGCTTTTGCATATCAATGGTTCTAGTTTGCATAGATTTTCCTACTATTTCAAAGATATATGGTATGAAAGAGTAAGCTCATTTCTCCCACATTTCACTGTATTTTTGATTCTGCAGAGTCCATAATAATATTTGATTGCATTCCAAAATACATGGGCATTTACTATCCCTCTGCAACTATGACTTCAGTGTGCTGTGCTGAGTGCCAACTGTTTGGCACTTAAAGCTTTGAACCAAAAGTAATCCAAACTTGGCTGACAGGAATGGTCAATTCCACTTCTAAGAAGCAGATTTCTTCAGAAACATTTTGGGGGAAAATGGGAATCCAACTTGTGGAACTCCATATATTTTGGCCTACAACTCTCATGATCCCTCACATGGCTAGAACTGATGGCAGTTGTAGATGTTTCCCAAACGTCTTGAAAGATATGACTTGTCCCCCTCTACATGGAATATACATTTTCCTGGAAGTGGAGAGCTAATATGTGTCATGGAGTGGGGAGAAGATAATTGAAAATAACAAATAAAATAAAATACTCTTTTTGCTTACGTGCTGTCAGTGTTCTTTAATGATAAAAATGCAACAAAAATGAATGGAGAAAAATCCAGTAAGCATGTGGGATGGAAGACTCATATGGGAGACTGCCACACTGGCAGTGGACAAGCACTGTGCTATAGGGATGAATCAGGTGGTCTGCCCAAGTCACATGATTACCAGATTTGATATTACTGCTCCAGTGTGAGAACTAAACAGAGGGAAACAGCAGTTTGCCCTCTGCACACAATAGTAGCCATGTAACATCAACCTGCCTTTTCAGGGAAAAGAGCAAGCAAAAATGCAATCTATGCAAAAGCTCTACAATCAGCTGACAATTGTCCCTTTCTCTGCTTTGCATTTCTCCTCTCTTATGTTCAGTGGAAAAAATCTCCATGCGGTGAATATGGTAAAGTTTTGTTCTACCTTGACCTGGTCAATTCCCTATCCTTTTTTGTTCTGGGTATATTTATATTTATTATTTATTTAGACAACTTATATGCCACCCCATCGCATGAGCCTCAGGACAGCTTACAATCATTAAAATCCCATATAAAATGCAAAAAAATTCATCAAATAAATAAAATACATGAAATAAAATAGTGGAAACAGTCTGGTCAATTTAAAATCAACAAGTAAACCATTAACAGTTAAAATAGCATTTAAATAAAAAGGTCTTGGCCTGGCGCCGAAAAACAAATAACGACGGCGGACCTCTCTGGGGAGCGCATCGGTTGGGCGCCACCGCAGAGAAAGCTCTCCTCCGAGTACTCACCCTCCTAATATCATGGAGGGTTCCTGGAGAAGGGCCTCTGCCACCGATCTCAGGGCGAGGGAGGGCATATATGGACACAGGCGCTTCTTTAGGTAACCAGGGCCTAAGCCGTTCAGGGCTTTGTAGGTGATAACCAGCACCTTGAATTGGGCCTGGACTTCAATGGGGAGCTAATGGAGCTGACAGAGGACTGGGGTTATATGAGAACAACACTCAGTCCCCGTCAGCAGCCTGGCAGCTCTATTTTGCACCAATTGAAGTATCAAGGGCAGGCCCACATAGATCGTGTTACAGAAGTCTAATTGGGAAGTGACCAATGCATGTGTCACTGTTGCCAGGCAGTCGTTCTCCAGTTAGAGACGCAGCTGATGGATCAGCCAATGCTGAAGGAAAGCGCTCCTCGCCACCGCTGTCACTTGAGCTTCCAACGATAGCTCTGGATCAAGGAGCACTCCCAAGCTGTGGACCCTGTCCTTTAGAGGGAGTGCAACCCCATTCAGGACAAGGTCAAAGTCCCCCATCCCAAAGCCACCTACCAACAGGACCACCGTCTTGTCTGGATTGAGCTTCAGTTTATTGGCCCTCATCCAGCCCATTACCTCGGCCAGGCACCAGTTCAGTACAGCCACTGCCTCACCTGGATACCTGGATTGGTTGAAAAAGAGAGGTAGAGCTGGGTATCATCAGTGTACTGATGATTCCACAGCCCACACCTCTGGATGACCTCTCCCAACGGTTTCATGTGGATGTTAAATAGCATGGGGAACAAGATGGAACCCTGCAGAACTCCATGGCATAGCTGCCATGGTGCAGAGCCATAGTCCCCCAGCACCACCTACTGGAATCGGCCATTGAGATAGGAGCGGAACCACTACAAAGCAGTGCCCCCAACTCCCAATCCCACTAGCCTATCCAGAAGGATACCATGGTCGATGGTATCGAAAGCCACTGAGAGGTCCAGGAGAACCAACAGGGACGCACTCTCCCTGTCTTTCTTCCTGCACAGGTCATCGTACAGAGCGACCAAGGCAGATTCAGTACCATACCCGGGTCTGAAGCTGGACTGAAATGGGTCCAGATAATCAGTTTCCTCCAAGAGTGCTTGGAATTGTCCTGCCACCACCCGCTCTAGCACCTTGCCCAGAAACGGGATGTTGGCCACCGGTCTATAATTGGTGGCCATCTCTCGATCCAGGGAAGCCTTCTTTAGGACAGGCCAGACTACCACCTCCTTTAAAGGGCAGGTACCCGGCCATCCCTTAGAGAGGCATTGACAAGCTCCAGGATCTAGGTCCCTATCCCGTCCTTGGCTGTCTTGATGGGGTAGGATCAAGATGGGGTAGGATCCAATAAGCAGGTGGTGAACCTTTTTATTATTGGCTCCTTAAAAGACATAGATCCAAACATCTGAAGCCAGAAGGACAACCATAGCACAAGAGAGGCAAGCACTCTGTAAAGCCAGAGTTGCAAATGTTGCAACAGTTGTGCCCACACATGTCTGCCTGACATGTGGCAGAACATTCCGTGCCCGTTTCGGCCTTATCAGCCACCTGCGGACACACCGTGGACAACTCACAACAGGTTAGATGTCAAGGTCCTCATCGAAAATGATGGACGAACATCAGTATTATTGGCTCCTTAAAAGACATGGGTCCCCAGTATACAATTCACAACTGCTAAATGTCCTGAACACTCATGATAGAATGGGATGCAATATAAACAAAGAACCTGTATTTCAGAGATAATATAAAACATGTTATCGTTTCTTCATTAGGTACAATTCAGAAGAATCCTTGACAACCTAAGCCAAACCACTATGAACTTGCACTGGTTTTGTAAGAGTTAACTATCATGCCTTTTCCACAGGCCACACCCACCAAGAATCTTGGGAGCTGTAGTTTGCTGAAGCGTATGAGAGTCCTAGTTAACATCTTTACAACCTCTTTCACAGAAATGCAAGTCCCATGATTTTCTAGAAAGTGCGAATGATCCTTAAAATTCTTTGCATCTCCAGTATTAATATACCCCACTGTAGTGTTAATAAGCCTCCTCTTCCATGCTTTTTTCTTTCAAAAGAGAAACTAAATGAAAACATAAATACAAAAACAAACCATAACAGTTTCAGGACTGTGGCAAATTAAAAAATACAATTAAGACATGAATACTACTGATGCATGTGAGCTGCTTAGCCATAACCTTCACTGAGGTCCTTCTGACAGATGCTGTCAAATTGTTGATGAATTCTAGTACTCTAGGGGAACAATTGCTCGATAGTTTTTGTAGCAATTCTGAATTCAGGCACAGCATGCACAGACTATTTGAAATTCTGCCTCAAAGTTGCTGACAATTATTTGTACAAAAGCATATGTGGGGCAATTTATAGTGAAGTAAAAGAAATGATAGCTTTTGGCCCCGGTAAGCTCACAATGAATTTTTGATGGTGATGGGGAATCAAATGTTCTTTTCATTCAGCTTTGTAAATATCAACTATGTAAGAGAACACCTATATTCAGAAGACATCACACCAGGCCTATTTTGTGGCATGGCTATCTTTGCCACTATCCAAAATTCCACATCACAGGTTAAAGGAGGGACTATTGGTAGCCTGGAGTGCCCAGAACAAACGTATGCAGTGGTTTCAAAAGCCTTGGCTGAGCTAACTTCAAAAGGAAAAGGAAATAGCATTGTTTAGCAACATAAGACCTCTGATTTATACTTCTTTTTCCAGTGTAGACTCTTCTAAGTTCAGAAATGGGAAAAAAGCTAACTGAATGCTTGCTTACCATATATTCCATGTTGGATGCAGGTGGAAAAACTTTGCCTCTGACTTGATTGTGATAATCCAGAATGGCAATCATGTCATTCTGTGATATGTAGCGTTTCCTTCTGGTTTTCGGCAGGTTTGCAGAATCCAGAGGAGTTCTCAAGGCTGCTTCAGCATCAGTGTGATTAGTGGTTGACAGGAACAGGTCAGTAGAATTGGGTAACACTATTGCACTTGTTTCACAGAAAGTGAGAATCAAGAGGGCACCACTAAATGCAGAAATTGCTATCATTTTGGGGCCCGTGCAGGGAGAAGCAGCTCGACTTTGAGCCAAAAAGGAAAAGATCTGTGAAGGAAAAAGGGTTAAAGAATGTGACTGGGATCAAACTGGATCTCTTTCTCAGATGAACCTCCATCTATCCCTCAATGACTCCCCCAAGTTGATTAATATATACTTGGAACTTAAAATATGCTGTTTCTAACAGAGTCAAGGTTCCACTCTGCCTGAAGTCGCCTAGCAACTGTACACACACAAATTGCCCTGTAACATACAAAAGAATGCATTCACATTGACCATCTGACTACAACTGGAGAGGCTGCAAAGAGCATCTAATATTCTGAAGATGAAAAAAGATGCACCAACTGCACAAACCTGACCATTACAAATTGGTTTTACAGTCATACTCTACCCTAATAAAGATTCACAACCAAAGGGAATAGGCAAGAAACATTAGAAAATATGAAAACAGACTATCATACTTGTACTGTTAAATTGAGTCCAGCAAAATGGGATGTGTTTTAATAAAATTGCATGCAAAGCAAACTGACTGAGCTCAATGGCTTACCTTTTTGTCGAACCAACAAGCCTAGGATATTGTTCTTCCAAGTTAAACAGTTCTTTTCTGTGCTCTGGTGTGAACCCTTGGAAAGAAGAGTGTGTCTTATTACAAACCCTCAGAGAGAAAGAAAAAGAGCAAAACTCTGCAAGCTTTCTAGCTCTGGCTACAGGAGCTGCTAACAGCTTTTATATGTTACAGTAAGCTACAAAGACTCTTGCAAAAGAAAAGGGTGGAGTTTTGCACAGAAAACACTGTGATTGGGTGCCATCTGTTTTTTACTGTAGGATATTAGGATATTGTTTCACACCCCCCTTCTCCTTGACTACAAAGAGACAGAAATCAAACCTCCCCCTTCAACTTTCTTCAGTTCCCCTCCCATTTTCCTTTTCCACAATTGAAATAAGGTTTAACAAATAATTATGTGCATTTAATAAATAATGCACATATTGTTTCTATTCAGCTTTATATAGTAACATTGTAAGATATGCATTCAGTAGTTTAAAGCAACAACAACAAAAGCCTTTGTAGATCTGTCACTACTGAGCGGAGCCGACACTTGAAGCACCACAGCTAATCATTTATTTTCGTTCAGGCAACTCCAAAGCAAGAATGAATAAACTGATAACTTGAGAAAGATGTTGGCCACCTGAATGCCTGTCTATGGAAAGCTGCAGATGCTGCTTTACTTGAAAGTGAAAGGGGGTCAGGGAAACATCTGGTTCACATTTAGTAGAATATAGTTGGAATTATTTAAGCAGGGAATGGTTCAGCCACTTATACTGCAAAAGCTGAGGGCATAACACCAGGTCCGTAAAGAATGCTACAGCAGCAGTACAGGCCGCCAATGACCCAGAGCCAGCAATCCCATATTATGGGGTTACAGATTGGAACTCCTTCAATATTAGGCAGAAGCTGTGCCAGGTCTGAGAGGCCTGAGGAAATCTTCAAGAGCAGGGCCCTCAAACATTCAATAAAAATATTTTGTGACGTCAGTGGAACAAGCCTATTCACTGAAGAAAGTAATGGAAAGAAATAGAAAAGCAGAGAGCATTGGTTATCACAACATGCACAGATGCTTGCTTAGTTTGCCAGTGCACGGTCTATTGCAATGTTCCAGCCAATGCAGAAACATGGTGCAGTGGTCAAAGGACAGGTCTGAAAGGCATAGCCCTTGCATTCTGTCCTGGATCTTTCTTGAGATACAGACAAGAGGCCAAAAGCAGGCCACTCAACCTCTTTGTGCTACATAGAGCTTTATGGTTTGTTTAAAGATGAAAAATGGAATACAATGGAAAAATATAAAAACAACATTCCTGGATCATAACCATGGTCCATCTGCCCAGTTTCTGGTTCATTCTGCATGGGTGGCCTGGATGCCTCAACTGCAGCACAGGCAGTTGAAGGCTGGACAGAGGCAGGAGGGTCTGCAACCTGGCTATGGCAAGGAGTCCCTGGTTATGGCAGAAATGTAACAGTACCCTCCTGCTTGCCTCAGATGCATAACCTTACATTCTGGGAGCAGAACTACTGAAAGGTGCATAGAAATCAGTAGAGTGGTGCTATAACTTATATTTAGCTGCAACTGTGAAACAGGAAAGTGCCCTCAGTGCTCAGTTTACACATGTCTTAGCTCAGGCACAGGACCTCTTCCAAGCTGAATTCTGTCAAAGAAACTCTTGGGGGCCACACTAGAGCAGGGAGTGGGGCCAAAGGCAAAAGGGCAGAACCAACAGTAAAAAGGAGTAAAGCCAAAAATACTGGTAGATTGTAATTTAGAGTACTTGCTGCTTTTAACTAAACCTTAGGAGAGTCATTTTAACCTATGGAATGGAACACAACCTGTAGAAAAGCCAGGAAACTACCAACAATTGCTGGCTGAGGGAAAAGAGCCAGTAATCTCATATCCCTTCAGCATATTATGGGATTGCTGAAGAAGGAGAAGGAGGCATAGGCTTTAGAGGAATCATAGAATCATAGAGTTGGAAGAGGACATGAAAGCCATCAAGTCCAATCACCTGCTGTCACAGGACACCAATTTACACCATCCACTCAGATGGCTGTCCAGTTTCTTCTTGAATGTCTGTACTGTGGAAGAGCTCATCACCTCTATAGGCAGCTGGTTCCACTGTCATATTGCTCTGACAGTGAAGAATGTTTTCCTGATACCTAGCCTGAATCTGGGTTGTTGCAGCTTGAATGGATTATTCCATGTCCTATACACTGGTATCAGCAAGAAAAGCTCTTGACCTTCCTCTTTGTGACAGCCTTTGAGGTACTTATAGAGGGATATCATGTCCCTCCTCAGTCTTTTCTTCTCAAGGCTGAACATGCCCAGTTCTCTCAGTCTCTCCTCATAGGGCAGTGTTTCCGAACCCTGGATCATTTTTGTTGCCCTCTTCTGGACCCTTTCTAATTTTCTGCAACTTTTAAAAATCTTGGTGCCCAGAACTGGACATAATATTTCAGATGGGGTCTGACTAGTGAGGGGTATAGAGGAGTCCCAGAGGGATGGATTGGGCCCCTAGGCTTGGGGTTTTGTACCCCTGCTTTATACATTGTTATCAGGTTTTACCTATATTTTACCTTGAAGGCAAGGTGAGAGAAGGTGACATTATGGTTCCTTTGTTTATTATCCTGCACTATCTCTTGTAGACAGCAGGATTCTGATTCTGTCTCCACATCTCACCCCACTCATCTCTCCCCAGGAAGTCTGCAAAGAAACTGGGCAGGTCTTCAAGTTTCCAGTGGAGAAGTCAAAAGTAAGTGTATTAGCTGAGTCCATTCTAAGTCCTCAAAACATTATAATCATATGGAAAGATGGTGTGGGACAATTCATTGCCATCTGTTCTTACCTGGAAATATGCAATTTAAACAATATGCTGAACAAAAGAATCATACTCAGTCTTCTCACCTGAGCCATAACTATCATTTAGCATTTTACCATACCACATAAAATATGAACATGTGAAGCTCCTACATCAGACCATTTCCCATCACGCCCTGGAATGTCTATCTGATTGCCAGAAACTCTTCAGGGTTTTATTCATCACAGGCTTCCTGAGCCATTCAAAATGTGGAGTCTTTGGAGCGCAAAGAATTTGACTTATCACTAACCTTCAAACCTATCTGAATAATAAAATAATTTGAAATAATAACATTGTGCTAATAATGCCTAATTCTGCTGAAATTCCAATCTTAGGCAGGTCTTATAAAGTTCACGCTGGGGCACTTGGAAATCCTTTAATACATATACCATCTCAAGTGAAAAACATGCAAACTAATGGTTACTTTTAAAATTAATATATAGCAAAGCTAACTTTTTAAATATTATTTTACCATTCTGGATTAAAGTACCCACTCTGAATGTTGTGAGGAGTTTTCCCCCCTATTTATGTTAATGTCTCCCCTATTATCTACAGCTTTTTCCTAAACACTTCAAATGCATTTCATTTGAAGTATATTAAGAAAGACTAAGGAGGCAATGCTATACTCAGAATCTACTGGCTAAAAGGCTATAAGATTTTGAGGAAGCCCTACCATGCTGGTGGAACACCAGATGTTCAGTCACTGTGAGAGAAATACCAGTAGAGTTTATGATAAACATATACACATTACTTACATGGGATGAGTTTGGGTAGCATGTGAATGACACAGAAGTATACTATAGTGAACCATAGTTCCTCCTTTGAGCAAACACCACCCACAGGCCTTTTCCTTGCAAAACTCTTTATTGCTTCTAAATGTAAATCACCCAGATAAGTTTCTGAGCATGTACAAAATGGTTTGTTGAACCCAATCTTTGGGATTACCTCCCAAAGTTCTCCTAAATGAACATACTCGTGCTCCAATGCTTCTGGAGAGTTCCTCTGAAAACATGCATGCCTCCACTCTCTTTGCTGCTCATCTAACTGGGCCTCTCACCTCTGCTAGCCCCTTGCTACAGGGTCCCGTTCAGAGAGCAGGGCTTGATCCGCATCTGAGAGTTCCTCATCCCCTGCAGTCCCTCCCACTGGCTGTACACCTGAGTCATTCTTGGGAGTGGTCCAGAGTGGTGAAGAAACCAGCCTTGAAATAATCGTCTCACCCATGTCTCTCTCCTCCTGTTGCATCCCAGGACCTTGAGCCAACCCAAGCTGCCCCATCCTGTGGAGACATTCCTCATATTCTGAATCTGAATCAGCATCCGTGTCATGAACACTTGCCCAGGCCTGCCATCCCCTTTACTTCCAGCATAGCTATCTATCCTACGTACCTTTGTGCTATAGCCATAGGCTGGGCTAACAAGACTGTAGCCCTGGACCCTCCAAAAAAGAAGGAATAGGTGTGTTTAGTTTGGAGAAGAGGAGGGATATGATAGCACACTTCAAGGACCTGAAGGACTGTCACTCAGAAGTATACAACTCTTCTCAATAATCCAAGGCTGCAGGACTTAGAATTAGAAGACAGATTTGAGGCGAACATCAGAAAAAATGTCATAATGGCTAAAGCAACCAAAGAATGGCACCAACAGGTTTTGGTGCGGTAGACCCTCTATTGCTAGCAAAGATTGGATAGCTATTGTTCAGGGATGCTTTAAAATACATTCCTGCACTCAGCCAGAGGTTGGGCTCAATGGATTTAGTGACCCATTCCAAGTCAATGATCCGAGGATCTTGGATTTGAGGTCCACCTGAATTCTACATCTACCTCAAATGTTATATGTGGCATGATTACAGCACAGTATTTTGTTTCTGCCAGGCTTTTCATATAAGTCTGCCTTCTCTGCATTTACAGTTCATGACAGAGAAAATTTTTTCATATTATCCTGCCCACCCACTGAAATCAGAGAATGATGCCGTCTTGGTGGTACCCCAGCCATCTGTTATCCATCTGGAAGTACTCAGAAGAAAGCTTTCATGGTGATAGCACCTATTCTTTGGGAATAGCCTTCCTTGAATACAAAGCATATGTCAACAGTGTTTTTATTATTTCATCGCCTGCTGAAAATATAGCTGTTTCAACAGGCATTTCCTGACCATTGATACTGCCAGCATACTCCTCCACCAGATTCAATATTGTGCGTGTAAAATTATTCTTGGTTTTCAGCTTGATGTTACCATAGTGATTTGTTGTATTAACTTATTTATACACTACTTTCAAAATCTTGGGGCACAGTT